ACCGCAGTCGGTGAATGCGCTCCATGACCAAGTGTTGCTTCTGGATGGCCTGCAAGAAGAGACTGATTAGAAAAGAAACCGAACAAACATTTGGTGAAATTTTGAGCACTAGTTTGAGACTCTTACCCTGGTCATGGATTTGACCAACGACTTCACCAACCGGGTGTCTGGAACATAGTCGCTACCGACCACGTCGATCGATAGGAGAAGGGCCTTGGAGAGGTCAAAGGCAAGAAGATGTTCTTTGTCTCCCTTCACGGAAGCTGTCGCCGGGATCTCCTTGTCCCAGTGTTTGAGCTGGGGCCTCTATGCCGGTGTTGGGTCGACGGTGGTGGCAGGCTGCTCGGTGTTGAGCTCAGCAACCAGCTCGACAGAAGGATCTGCACGAGGTCTTTTGCCAACCCGGCGAGTGTCTTGGCTTGCTTGCCCGGCAGCGGGAGATGCTAGCGTAACCACGGCCCCACTGGATTGACCAGCAGCAGGAGAGCGGGTTTGGATGGTTAGTATCTCGGTGGAAGTTGCTGTGAGGAGGTTCTTGATACGGCTTCTCTTAGCCATCTCTTCTGCCTCCGTTAACCATATTAGAGGCACGTCCGGTAGTGTTGGGTCTAGAGGAGGCGACGGAGCACGGAGAAAGTCTGTGACCTTACTCCGGCGTGGAGCTGAGTATTTGTATGTTGGAACGTAACCAAGGAGCTCGTTACAATCCTAGTTGCGGTAACGGAGCACGGTCCTGATGGCTACTTCGTTGGGATAGTGGTAGTTGGCTTGCAAGGCTTGGATCGCTGCAAAGGAAAGAAGAGAAGTGTTAAGTACAGAATATTGAAGAAAAGCAATTGACCGAGCAAGTTAGCACAGCTTACATGTTTCACCGAAATTCTTGCTAATGAACCAGCCCGGTACGTCGGCTGTTTCATAGTTGCCAGACACCCAGAAAAAGTCGTCTTCATGTAAGTCCTTATCTGGGTGCCGGTCACTATCTTTTCTTTGCCCGGTCGAATTTTTAAGTAATAGACGAGGCTGTCGCCCGTGTGCCCAAGGGTGTACTGACGGAGTATCTCGGCTAAACCTAAGTTGGTTCCTAGCCGATTGTTCAACTCGTGGACCCCGTTGATTATTCGGTAAGTGTTGGTTGAGACTTGGGTGGGTGCTAGCCCGGTGCGGCGCAAGAATTCAGTCATCAGTGGGTTGACCAGGAAGCGGAGGCCTCCTTCAATTATAGACAGCACGGTGAAGGGGCACTGGTCTAATCTGCCCCAAGGTGCTATATCTCTGCCAAGGCATTGACTTGGGAGGACTCAGAGCTGAGGCTTCATTTTTATTTTATTGTTATTTGTTGAATGTAAGCCCAAGGAGGTATTTGCGTTGAGTTGAAACTCCATTTTGTGTAACCAAGAATGTTCTTGGATAAATTTGTAAGCCTGTAGGGCACTTATTATCTGTTTGGCTTCCATTTCATACTTGTTGTAAAATGCATGCTTGGGATTGGAACTGGGGCATTGAGGTGTGAACAGCATGTGTTTGGCATTTGGGATTTAATGAAAATGGATGTATGGAATAGTTAGCTATATATATGTGTTTGTCTATCAGGTGGGTTTTGCTGCATACATAGATATATCCTGCCCAATTTTCGGGGCGTTACACTTTCTTTATCCATTTTTATTTGCCAGTATCCACTTTTATAATCCATTTTGGAGAACTAGGAGGCACCCTATATTCTTTTAAAAAGGACTTGCTTATTTGGAATAAAATAACCATCTCTTTTAGTATTATCATTTAATGTTTTTGTAATTTTTTACCATTCTAGCTTTTCCTCTTTTAATATCAGTATGATTTCTAACCATAAATGTCGGACTACTATGTGGATTTTTACTATCTCTAATTAATCTTTTTCATTTGAGATCTTCCATCTCTTTTCTGAATTCCTCTATATCATTATAAGTATATACCATTTGTTTTACTCTAATTATTTTATTAGGGTCGCTTAGGTCTAATTTAGCTATACTTTTATCTTTATGCCAAAATTTTAACGGATCTTCACTATATAAATTTTTTCATCTTTCTTGTTGCTCTTTTTGAATTTTCTTGAATACTAATTTATTTAATACTTAGTGCAGTTTCAAGATCGGTTGGAGAGATTACCTCATTACCATGCTTGCTGCATACAAAGTCAATGTTGTGATGTGTAACAAGTATTTTTAGTTTTAAGACTTCTACTGGTTTATTATTATTTGTAAAAATAAAGAGTGCAACGTTTGAGTACAAAAACTACATAATCTTTGAAAGTTATTTCCGATGATTACATCATGTGATGGTTGATTGGTTGCCTAAAGTTTGGGAATGATAAAGGCAACGGAATTTACTTCTATAACTAAGTTTTCTATAGCGTCATTATGGATCATTGTACTATTATTAGCTATTTGAACTATTAATGGTCAATTTTTCTTTTTCCACACATACTCAGGAAAGAGTTCATTTTTCCAAAATACACAAAGCATCCACTGTCCAAGTAAGCACATAATTCGTAAGTATTAAATCCTTCTATGTGTATTTTTATGGGTACATATATACTAGACATTTTATTTTCCTCACTCTTTTTGTTGTATCTTTTTATAAACGTGTTGTATTCTTTTTGCACCTCTTATTCATCGTCTTTTGTCAAAACCATAAGATTTTCCTCATCTTCATATACTAATACACTCGTAGTTCTATATCCTATTATTCTTTTACTAGTTGAACTTCAACTAGAATGTATACTAGAATTATCTACAGAATGTCTTCCCGATGATATACTTACATTATCCATTTCATCATTATTTTCTATTGTGCTAGGAGTTTCTATTTTAATATTTCCGGTATTATTGATTTTAATTATATTTTTTCTTTTTATAATATTTTTAGGGTTATTGAAACATGTTATCCATCGATTTTCTAACTTGATCTCGTTAGGATTTATTCTTTTAAGTGTAATTCTATCTATTAGTATTCCATTGGTAGGTTTAAATTTATCTGCTTCTATAATTTTATGTTGCATTTTAGGATCTATGATATTATCTAACTTATATATTATTTTGCAAAATATCCTTAATGGATAAGTGGTTTCATGCATATTGATTCCTACAGTTTTTATTTTGAGATTATTTCATTTTGACCCCTATACTTTGTCACGTTTTTCAAAGACCCCCCCAAACTACTTTTATTTTCACGCATACCCCTATACTATGTGAATTCTTTTCAATTTTACCCCCGCCGTCTATTTCCGTCAAGGAAGTGGACGGAATGGGTGATGTGGCCCCCTATACTTTCACATGGAAGGAAAATTAAACGACCTGGCTAAGCATAATCAAGTTACATACATTAGGGTTGCTTAAAACTCCCCAAATCACATTTAGGGCTTTTAATTTGCTCACAAAATTCCAAAATCAAAGCTGAGAGTGAACAACGACTATGAAATCACATTCAAATCAAAGGTTGATCGATGGGTTGGGTGCTAAGAGAGAAGAATAACGGTGGAGGAAGACAAACACCTGTATATAGTATGTATGTTTTTTTGTTTTTTTGATGTTTTTTTAAGTTGTTTTTTGTTGTTGTTGGAAATCGCATATGTTTGATGTTAATATTATTTTAGAAAGGTAAAATCTTTGTTTATTTCTATGTGACATGGATTTGTTAATGAAATTTTTTTATGTTTGTTTCGGTTTGAACAGTTTTACTTTAAGAAAATCTTTGTTTATGTTTGTTTGAAATTGATGAACACATATGAAATCTTTGTTTTTTTAGTTGTTTGTATTTCACGTGGATGACTACTTGTTTATTATTTATCTATCTCTACTGTAATGTAATAGGATTTTATCATTGTAAGTTCCATTGAATAGTAGTGTTAATGCCACATTTCAAATACAAAATACAGAAGATGGATCTAGGTATTTTACAATCAAAATACATCATGGAGGTGTGGTGAGGTATATTCCACAGAGGGTTTACAATGGTGGTATGGTAAGTCATTTTGACTTTTGTCATTCAAATCAAATTTCCATTACAGAGTTGTGTTGCATGGCTAAGGAATTAGGACATAGGCCAAGTAATAACTATTACAGTAAGGTTAGTGGTTATGGTGGGATGGAGTTATTAAAATCTGATGCTGATGTATTGATGTTGGACACATATGTGGATGAAGACAGAGTAATAGATGTTTATATAGGACACAATTTGGATGATTATGTAAGTACACAAAGTAGTCAAGTAGGCTCAAGTGTAGAAACAAGTAAAGGTAAGGGGGTAATGCCTGATGTTGAATTAGAGGAAGATGAAGATAATGATGCCTATGATCCTGACCAGTCAGACTCATCCTCTGATGAGTCTGAAAAATATGATGACAGTGACTATGAGCAAGGTGATAATGATGCTTTATATGATAAACATGTTGACAAAGATGTGGAATTTGGTGGTTTAGGAAGTAGTAAGGATGCTATGGGTGATGTGGCTGACAATGATGGCCTACAAAGCATGGACAACTCATCTGATGAGCTAAGAAGCCTTCATAGCTCCTCTGATGAAGATAGTCAGTGCACTAGGCTTAAGTACCCTGTTTTCAGTAAGAGTGACATGCATAATCCTACATTCCAACTTGGCATGGAGTTCAAAACAAATGTGTTGTTTAGAGATGCTGTGAAGGAGTATGCTATTAAGTGCGGCAAACAATTCACAGTTACTAAGAGTGACAAACAGAGGGTTAGGACAGAGTGCAAATCTGGTTATCCTTGGGTTTTGTGAAGGGTGAAGGGATGTTTAGGATCAAAACTCTTGTAGATGAACACACATGCAACAGAACATTTGATGTGCCACATGTGAGTAGTAGATGGATTGTCAATAGGTATTAGGAAAGGATTAGGTTAAACCCTACCTGGCCAATTAAGTCATTGGCAGACACCATTACAACAGAGCACAATGTCAAAGTTGACCTGTAGAAAGTGAGAAGGGCAAAAATTAAGGCTCTCACAATGATTGAGGGTACTACATCTGAACAATTTGCAATGCTTTGGGGTTATGTAGAAGAGATTAGAAGTAGTAATCCAGGAACAACAATTTTCATGAAGGTGAAAGAACTTCCAAAAGTTCATAAAGAGGATGAGCAAATGTCATTTGAAGGGGTCACATGGTGGAGTGTTGTTGACTGCAGTGGGGATAGATTGAAATAATTGTATATTCCCATTTGCCTATGCCATTGTTGAGAAGGAGAAGAAGAAAATATGGTTATGGTTTCTGAATTTGTCGGGGCAAGACTTGAATATTGTGAATTCTCATTGTTACACTTTCATGAGTGACAAATAGAAGGGCCTAATTGATGCAGTAGCTGAGCTATTTCCAAATGCCTCATACAAGTTCTGTGTAAGGCATTTGTACAATAATTTCAAGGGTCAGTTTAAGGGTAGGGTACTGAAGGATTTGTTATGGAAGGCAGCCAGGGCAACCACTGTTGGTGTATTCACTAAAGTTATGAAAGAAATGAAAGGGGTTGATGAAGAAGCATACAATTGGTTGGCTAGAAGAGCACCAATCCATTGGAGTAGGAGTCACTTCCACAGTTTCCCCAAATGTGACATTTTGTTGAATAATCTTTGTGAGTGTTTCAATGCAAGCATATTGCAGGCTAGGGATCAACCTGTGTTGTTCATGTTAGAGAAGATAAGAGTTCTGTTGATGGAAACCATTCAAAAAAGAAATGAAGCAATGAAAACGTACAACAGAAGTGATATATGTCCTAAGATTCAGAAGATTTTGGAAAAGGTCAAAGTGAGTGCAGCTAGATGGATTCCTAGATAGAATGGGGGTTCCCAATATGAAGTTGTTGGCTCATATGGTGAGCAATATAAGGTGGACTTGAAAGAATGGACTTGTGAATGTAGGAAATGGGATCTATCGGGCCTTCCTTGTGTCCATGTTGTGGTTATTGCAAACTATATGAGTGAAGAACCAGAAAAGTATGTGCATCATTACTATAAAGTTGAAACCTACCTGAGGATTTATGAGAACATGTTGACTCTAATCAATGGTAGACAAATGTGACCAACAAGTCAATATGGTAAAGTTCTACCACCTGATGTGAAGAAGAGAGCTGGGAGGCCAAGACTGAAAAAGAGGAAGGACACAGATGTCCCAATTGATGCAACTGATTCAAGTAAGTTAGGAATAAGGGGAACTCAGATGACATGCAAGAATTGTGGCAAGTTGGGACACAACAAAAGGACATGCAAAGTCAAAGGCCAATTCACCTACCTGAAAGACCTTGTGAGTTCTAGTCAAGTAATTAATATATATTTTTTTTTAAAGTTTGTTAACTTACACATTGCTAACTTTTGTTTTTTAGTTTTTGCAATGCCAGCATGAA